CCTTGACCCCCCAGCCGACCCCCTTTCACATCCTGATCCGCCGCCTCTGGTGGCTGCCGCTTTGTCCCCCGACATCATCGGCTACCGATGTTTTTTGCGGTTTCACACTTTGGTTAAGGTTCCTGCCCTTCGCACTCGGACTCGCACTCGTGGTCAGCCCCCAGTCATTGGGTCACAGTCAAAGTCCGCCAAAAGTGCCAGAAGTACCAGTGCCGATGGCCACTGAGTACCCACTCCCAAAATAGGGTTGACCCCAGCCCGAACTTGAACTGTTTACAAAGACGTTTGCGAAAATATCAACTACTCATCACATGGATTTGAAAACCTCTGGACAGTCGACTGGTTTTTCAGTTGTTCAGTTTCATAGAGCATCTTATCACAGAAATCTATATGACCATGAGTCTTACATTGTCCAATTAAAAACAAAAGGATTTTTTACGATTTTTTTTATTTGACAAATCATTTTTTGCAAAATTTTAAAAAACTGAAAAATAACGGTGAATGCCATTCGATGGGCAATTTAACGACGAACGCGCCGATATATGACATTCCATCTATTGACCATTTCTTCCCAAGGTTATGATCTAAAAACGATTTTTTATGTGTTATTTTTGGGTTTATAGAGATTTGACAAATACAAAAATTCCTTTAGTTGTAACCAAAATGAGAGGTAGAGCCATAAGAGTCACTGTTTTGGACAGCTGTCAACCTATATTGCCCATATAAAATCGGTTTAGAGCCATTTATTTGGTTTTAATATGAAAAATCGATTTTTCAAAATAGACTTTTGAAAAATTAACGTTATGGCCAATTTTCGCATTTTTGATAAGGGGGTACATCATCATTTTTTGCGAATTTTCGAAAATCTGAAAAATTTGTAACTGAGAATGCCATTTGATTGGCAATTTAATGACAAATTCGCCGATGTATGACATTCCATCTGGTGACCATTTTTTCCCAAGGTTTTGATACAAAAACCGATATTTTAGGTGTTTTTTTTGGGTTTTTGGAGATTTGACAAATACAAAAATTCCTAAAGCGTCCTTTTTTTGTAACTTGGCCAAAATGAGAGGTAGAGCCAGAAGAGTGACTGTTTTGGACAGCTAGCAACCTATACTACGCATCTAAAATCGGTTTAAAGCCATTTATTTGGTTTTAATAAAAAAAACCGATTTTTCAAAATAGACTTTTGCAAAATTAACGTTATGGCCAATTTTCGCATTTTTTAAAAGGGGGTACATCATCATTTTTTCCGAATTTTTGAATATCTGAAAAATTTTTAACTGAGAATGCCATTTGATTGGCAATTTAATGACGAATTCGCCGATGTATGACATTCTATCTAGTGACCATTTTTTCCCAAGGTTTTGATACAAAAACCGATATTTCAGGTGCCTTTTTTGGGTTTTTGGAGATTTGACAAATACAAAAATTCCTAAAACGCCCTATTGTTGTAACTTGGTCAAAATGAGAGGTAGAGCCATAAGAGTCACTGTTTTGGACAGCTGTCAACCTATATTGCCCATATAAAATCGGTTTAGAGCCATTTATTTGGTTTTAATATGAAAAATCGATTTTTCAAAATAGACTTTTGAAAAATTAACGTTATGGCCAATTTTCGCATTTTTGATAAGGGGGTACATCATCATTTTTTGCGAATTTTCGAAAATCTGAAAAATTTGTAACTGAGAATGCCATTTGATTGGCAATTTAATGACAAATTCGCCGATGTATGACATTCCATCTGGTGACCATTTTTTCCCAAGGTTTTGATACAAAAACCGATATTTTAGGTGTTTTTTTTGGGTTTTTGGAGATTTGACAAATACAAAAATTCCTAAAGCGTCCTTTTTTGTAACTTGGCCAAAATGAGAGGTAGAGCCAGAAGAGTGACTGTTTTGGACAGCTAGCAACCTATACTACGCATCTAAAATCGGTTTAAAGCCATTTATTTGGTTTTAATAAAAAAAACCGATTTTTCAAAATAGACTTTTGCAAAATTAACGTTATGGCCAATTTTCGCATTTTTTAAAAGGGGGTACATCATCATTTTTTCCGAATTTTTGAATATCTGAAAAATTTTTAACTGAGAATGCCATTTGATTGGCAATTTAATGACGAATTCGCCGATGTATGACATTCTATCTAGTGACCATTTTTTCCCAAGGTTTTGATACAAAAACCGATATTTCAGGTGCCTTTTTTGGGTTTTTGGAGATTTGACAAATACAAAAATTCCTAAAACGCCCTATTGTTGTAACTTGGTCAAAATGAGAGGTAGAGCCAGAAGAGTGACTGTTTTGGACAGCTAGCAACCTATACTACCCATCTAAAATCGGTTTAGAGCCATTTATTTGGTTTTAATATGAAAAATCGATTTTTCAAAATAGACTTTTGAAAAATTAACGTTATGGCCAATTTTCGCATTTTTGATAAGGGGGTACATCATCATTTTTTGCGAATTTTCGAAAATCTGAAAAATTTGTAACTGAGAATGCCATTTGATTGGCAATTTAATGACAAATTCGCCGATGTATGACATTCCATCTGGTGACCATTTTTTCCCAAGGTTTTGATACAAAAACCGATATTTTAGGTGTTTTTTTTGGGTTTTTGGAGATTTGACAAATACAAAAATTCCTAAAGCGTCCTTTTTTGTAACTTGGCCAAAATGAGAGGTAGAGCCAGAAGAGTGACTGTTTTGGACAGCTAGCAACCTATACTACGCATCTAAAATCGGTTTAAAGCCATTTATTTGGTTTTAATAAAAAAACCGATTTTTCAAAATAGACTTTTGCAAAATTAACGTTATGGCCAATTTTCGCATTTTTTAAAAGGGGGTACATCATCATTTTTTCCGAATTTTTGAATATCTGAAAAATTTTTAACTGAGAATGCCATTTGATTGGCAATTTAATGACGAATTCGCCGATGTATGACATTCTATCTAGTGACCATTTTTTCCCAAGGTTTTGATACAAAAACCGATATTTCAGGTGCCTTTTTTGGGTTTTTGGAGATTTGACAAATACAAAAATTCCTAAAACGCCCTATTGTTGTAACTTGGTCAAAATGAGAGGTAGAGCCAGAAGAGTGACTGTTTTGGACAGCTAGCAACCTATACTACCCATCTAAAATCGGTTTAGAGCCATTTATTTGGTTTTAATATGAAAAATCGATTTTTCAAAATAGACTTTTGAAAAATTAACGTTATGGCCAATTTTCGCATTTTTGATAAGGGGGTACATCATCATTTTTTGCGAATTTTCGAAAATCTGAAAAATTTGTAACTGAGAATGCCATTTGATTGGCAATTTAATGACAAATTCGCTGATGTATGACATTCCATCTGGTGACCATTTTTTCCCAAGGTTTTGATACAAAAACCGATATTTTAGGTGTTTTTTTTGGGTTTTTGGAGATTTGACAAATACAAAAATTCCTAAAGCGTCCTTTTTTTGTAACTTGGCCAAAATGAGAGGTAGAGCCAGAAGAGTGACTGTTTTGGACAGCTAGCAACCTATACTACGCATCTAAAATCGGTTTAAAGCCATTTATTTGGTTTTAATAAAAAAAACCGATTTTTCAAAATAGACTTTTGAAAAATTAACGTTATGGCCAATTTTCGCATTTTTGATAAGGGGGTACATCATCATTTTTTGCGAATTTTCGAAAATCTGAAAAATTTGTAACTGAGAATGCCATTTGATTGGCAATTTAATGACAAATTCGCTGATGTATGACATTCCATCTGGTGACCATTTTTTCCCAAGGTTTTGATACAAAAACCGATATTTTAGGTGTTTTTTTTGGGTTTTTGGAGATTTGACAAATACAAAAATTCCTAAAGCGTCCTTTTTTTGTAACTTGGCCAAAATGAGAGGTAGAGCCAGAAGAGTGACTGTTTTGGACAGCTAGCAACCTATACTACGCATCTAAAATCGGTTTAAAGCCATTTATTTGGTTTTAATAAAAAAAACCGATTTTTCAAAATAGACTTTTGAAAAATTAACGTTATGGCCAATTTTCGCATTTTTGATAAGGGGGTACATCATCATTTTTTGCGAATTTTCGAAAATCTGAAAAATTTGTAACTGAGAATGCCATTTGATTGGCAATTTAATGACAAATTCGCCGATGTATGACATTCTATCTGGTGACCATTTTTTCCCAAGGTTTTGATACAAAAACCGATATTTTAGGTGCTTTTTTTGGGTTTTTGGAGATTTGACAGATACAAAAATTCCTAAAGCGTCCTTTTTTTGTACCTTGGCCAAAATTAGAGGTAGAGCCATAAGAGTGACTGTTTTGGACAATTGGCAACCTATACTAACCATCTAAAATCGGTTTAGAGCCATTTATTTGGTTTTAATAAAAAAAACCGATTTTTCAAAATAGACTTTTGCAAAATTAACGTTATGGCCAATTTTCGCATTTTTTAAAAGGGGGTACATCATCATTTTTTCCGAATTTTTGAATATCTGAAAAATTTTTAACTGAGAATGCCATTTGATTGGCAATTTAATGACGAATTCGCCGATGTATGACATTCTATCTAGTGACCATTTTTTCCCAAGGTTTTGATACAAAAACCGATATTTCAGGTGCCTTTTTTGGGTTTTTGGAGATTTGACAAATACAAAAATTCCTAAAACGCCCTATTGTTGTAACTTGGTCAAAATGAGAGGTAGAGCCAGAAGAGTGACTGTTTTGGACAGCTAGCAACCTATACTACCCATCTAAAATCGGCTTAGAGCCATTTATTTGGTTTTAATATGAAAAATCGATTTTTCAAAATAGACTGTTGAAAAATTAACGTTTTTTGTGAATTTTTGAAAATCTTAAAAATTTTTAACTGAGAATGCCATTCAATGGGCAATTTAACGACGAATTTGCCGATGTATGACATTCCATCTATTGATAATTTCTTGCCGTAAAAATGAATGTGTTTAAAGTATTTTGCTATACAACAAATTGTGTGTTGAATAACAGACTGGTACTGGCTTACAAAGTGTGAATTTTAATGAGCAGCTTGGGCGGAATGCCAAAAAAAAGGTTGACAATTGGTTTACTTAGACTACGACGAAATAGCGGTTGAAAACTTAAAGCGAGAGCAGGTGTTGGTTGGTAGGCGCCTATTTGATGTACTTGTCCATGAACTTCTTGTGGAAATCGGAGCGCAGGGCGTCGTTGACGAAGTGCGTCTTCTTCTCGGGCGCCGAGCGGGCGCAGTTCTTGAACACCACGTCGTCGTCCCAGCGGCGTTTGATCTTGAGGTCGCCGCCCAGGCCGGAGGCGCGTCCGGCGGCGGAGGCGGCGGTGCCGGGCTCGTAGTTGATCAGCGGATTGCCGGACAGGATGTTCTCCATGCGGATGCGCTCGTCCTCCTGCTTCTTCTCCGACTCGCGGCGGGCGGTCTCCTGCAGGCGCTCCTGCTTGATCTTCTGCAATTCGGCCAGCAGGGCGGCATCATCGTCATCCGAATCGGAATCAGAGTCGGAGCTATCATTGTCCAGCGGCTCGTCGGCGTCCATATTGGCCGCCTGCTGCTGTTGTTGCTGCTGCAGCTGCTGCTGCTGCAGTGCATCGGGTTTGGCCCGTTTGCCGGCAGCACCACCACCACCACCCGCATTGTTCGCCTCGATGGCCTTGCGCACAATGGAGGGCAGCGCCTTGCCCGACGAGGTGCCTCCGGAACGGGCCTCCCTTTCGCGCTCCTCCAGCTCCTTGCGGAAGTCCCGGTTGCGGATCTCCTCGCTGGTGCCCTGGCCCGTCTCCCTGTAACCAAACATATGCGTTATAAACCCATTTTAGCATAGAATATCCCCTTTATCCAATACAACCTGTATTTCAGCTTGGTGTGGCCTGGCAAGTCGCGACTGGAATACTGCTTGCTCAGCGCACTCAGATCCTTTTCGCCGCGTCCTGATCCTCCGCGGGCGGGGTCAAAGGTCGGTCGCGCTGCTGTGGTCATTTTAGTTTACCTATTTATCGCTTAAATATACAAGAAACGTTTCTCTAAATGCGTATTTCGTTGGCTTGTTATATTCTGCCAGTGTGACCGCAGACTGGAAAGTGAAATATACCACATTGTATATCTGTGTAATATAAGCGGTATTCATTAAACAAATAATCAATTTGTTTTGCAAGTTGTTGAATTATTTTTAAGTTTCTAGGTTTTATAAAAATAATACACTCATGAGTTGCAGCCAAGGTGAATGAGCTGCAGTGTTTAGAAAGGTACAAAGTATTTTCTAAAATATATATTAAGATAAGGTAAAAGTTATGGAAACATATATATATATATATATAAATATGAATAGCTTTGTTTCAAGTTGTTTCAATAAATATAAATAAAATTTAGTGCTATTTAGCAAATTTGAAAACAAAAATAATTAAAAGACACTTCAGAACCCAATACCCAAATAAGTTAAAAGGCAATATAAAAAGTGCCGTAATTTGTTACAAGTTGCAGTAGTTTTCGTTTGCTCTAAATCTAAATAGATTTATAAATATATATACATTTTTCACTAAATTAGATACCTATAGCATATAGCATTTCCAATACCTCTAATAAAAAAAAAATATCAAAATGGTGAGAAACTTGGATAGAGCGGCGTGGAGACTCGGATGGGCATCACTGCCCGATCAGCTGTGCCGCATGGGCAGCACTGTTCTGGTAAACACGCGCGGAACGACCGCCGTTTTTAGCCAAATAAATACGGAAAAGTAAACCCGGATCGTAGCTCTATCACGATTTCCGGTTAACGCAACTCCCATAGCTAATCCCTCCCCCACCCGACGGCCATGCTGGCGAATCTGCAAGGCCGCAGCGGCCACCTGTTGCGTCACGGCCTCCAAAACGCCAGGATTTGGAGGCGCAGCTGGGCGAGCTCATCAGCTGGAAAGGATTCCCCTTCTGCGGAGGACGATAGCCTGACCATTGGCGACGTCAGTGTGCGACTGAGCAGGCCGAAGGATCCACAGCTGGTGCCACAGCAATACGGTGAGGATCGCACTTTCGGGGTTTGTGTTTTTAGCCAGCCAAGATTCTCCAAGCAGTACAAAGGTCGATCATCTGCTTTTCCCTTGCAAACTGGATGACACTTCATCATTATATCACTTCATGGGATCATCTTGAACGGATGAAAAGAGGGAGCATATATATCATTATAGGATCATCTTGAATGGGACAGCAGTGATATACATATGTCTTACCCTCTATAAGGCTGATGTATTAAAGACAAATCGTTATCATTATCACTAGTATCTTTTATTTCTTGCTTGTGGCCAGAATAGAAATACTGTATCTTATCATTTTGACTTCTTTTGAGGGGCAACAACAATGACAATTATATTATATCATTAGAAAATCATAGAGAAATCTTACCCTTTACACTTGCACTTGAAAACATATTATTATTTTCTATCTATTAAATACTTATTTGACTTAGTTGCAACTATATTTTATTATAATCCATCAAAGCTTTACTTTGTTAAAATAAATGCAGATAATGCAAGTGTTTCAAGCTTAATTTAATTTGATTTTTATTCATAGCGTTTACTTATTTTAACTATAACTTTTTTTTAGATTTTCATTTGACTATTTTTGGAATAGACTTTAATATCTGAAAGTATTGAACTGTGTTAAACTTAAATATAAGGCATTTAAAATAAATAAATAAAATAAAGTAATATTTTTCACATTAATTCAAATGTTTAAATATCAAATCTTGCAGTATTATGATTTTATATTTAATTAAAATATGAAATATATAATTTAATAGCTAAATATATAATTATTTCAATTTTTGCATCGGTGTGCTAGTATCTATGCTATGATTTTATATTAAATTTAAATATTGTTTTGATTTTTGCATCAGCGTGCTAATATCTATGCCTTTTTCCATGCCAATCCGCAGTCAAATATGCCGATGATGGCAGCCTGCAGCTGTCGCAGTCGGCGCTGCACCACCTGCGCTGGATGCTGCAGAAGGACGCACTGCGTCAGGACATGTTCCTGCTGGGCCAGCCGGGCCCCCTGCGCCGCCAGCTGGCGCTGCAGTTCCTGGAGCTGACGCAGCGCGAGGTGGAGTACGTGGCGCTCAGCAGGGACACCACCGAGAGCGACCTCAAGCAGCGACGCGAGATCCACGACAAGGCGGCCGTCTACCACGACCAGGGCGCGGTGCGAGCGGCCCTCAATGGCCGCGTCCTCATCCTCGACGGCGTGGAGCACGCGGAGCGGAACGTCCTGCCCATACTGAACAATCTGCTGGAGAACCGCGAGATGCATCTGGAGAGCGGCAAGTTTCTGATGTCCCCCGAGCGGTACGACAAGCTGCTGGAGGTGGGTTATCGAGGATTAGTGGGTCTCTACACTGGTAAAAAAATAAAGTGGGGAAACAAACGTATCTCATACTCAATTTCATAATTTGTAGCTTTTCTTTTTACCTATTGCGGTTTTGAGGTATTTAAAATATTCTTTTTTAATATTTAATTTGAATATTTTCGGAATAGATTTCATTCGTTAGGGTTTTTATAATCAATATAATATTGTTCACATTAATTCAAATATTGTAATATTTAATCATGCTTTTTAATATGCATGGTATATGAGATGTGTTATTAAATTTAAATCGAAATGTGTTTTAATGATTTATAATTATGAAATTAGTCTCTCAGTTTTGTGTTTTCCCATTAAATTAATTATAATTCGAGATTAGTGATGATTTACTATTTCGAAATTAGGGTTTCTATTTCTAATAAAATCAGACAACGAAAGCAAAGTGGTAAAAAATCGAAATATAAAAAACATTTAATATTTGTATATAATCTATAGTATACTAAATATTTCCCATTCTTGCAGAAACACTCACGGAAGCAGCTGGACGAGTGGGGTCTGCTGCGGGTTTCGGAGCAGTTCCGGGTGGTGGCCTTGGGTCTGCCCACGCACAAGTACAAGGGCACTCCGCTGGATCCGCCGCTGCGCTCCCGCTTCCAGTCGCGCAACGTGACCGCCTACTCCTACGGCGAGCTGTTCGAGGAACTGCAGCAGGAGGCGACTTCTGTGCCCGCCGAGCACCTCAAGCAGCTGCTCACCTTCGCCCTCACCTTGCAGCAGGCGGATCCGGCGCTCCAGTTGCCGGACTTTCCACTGCACAACCTGCGACTGGGTGTGAAAATGATGGTGGGTTAAGGTCTAACTGCACTTGAGAAAAAAAAAACTTAGTAAATCCAAGTATTTCATACTCAATTCAACCAAGTTTCGATTCGGTTTGCCTTTAGTTTTTCATTATTTTCAATATGCAAATATTACATTTCTTTTAATATTTATTTGTATATATTTAGATTCTAATATCTAAAAATTTAATTTAACTTCAGACAAAATAGATTTATATAAAATAGTGCATTTAAATGAACAATCTATTTATTATTATGATTTTGTATTTCATTTAAATATGAAATATAAAATGTTGAATTTTTCTATGCCCTTTTTTGGTTTTGGATTTAAATTTGAATATATGAAAATGTAATTTTAATTCGAACACATTTAATCTTAAATATAAAGTATTTCAAACTAATAGGAAACATTTAAAAACTAAAGTTTCCGTATTAATAAAAATAGTTTCATAATAAATAGTGCTCTTTAATAAGCACTGTATGTAATATTATGATTTTGTATTTAATTTAAATATGAAATATAAAGTTTTGGATTTTTCCCTGCAAATTTTAAGTTAAATATTTAATATAAAATTTTGTATATTACTATTCCATTTTTTATCAGTCATTCAGCCCTTTGAATCCTCATTGATTTCTGCCTTTTGTTCTGTTGCTTTCCAGGAGGCCAATCCTTTGCTGAGCCTTTACGACGTCCTCAATCGCCTGTATCCATACCAGAGCATGCTGAAGCCCGACCAAAAGAAGCGCGTGGAGGAGCTGCTCAAGAAGCTGGACATCCAGTTGGTGCCCAGCCAGAGCATCAAGAAGATCGGGAGTGGGCCAGGGGATGGTGGCCAGGTGCAGCTCAAGCTGGACGGGCTGCAGCTGACACTGCCCGGCGGAGAGACGGCCACGAGGAGTTCCAGCTTCGTGGACCTGCCCCACCAGCGGCAGGCGCTGGCCAGTCTGCTGCAGGCCTACGCCGTGGGCGACGTGTGCCTGATAGGCGAGAAGGGCGTGGGCAAGCTGACCCTCGTCCAGGAGCTGCTCCGCCTGCTGCGGCAGAGCGCGGAGCCCATGATGCTCTACGAGGACATGACCAGCCGGGACATCGTGCAGCAGCGCATCACCAGTCCGCAGGGCGACACCGTGTGGCGCGACTCGCCGCTGGTGCGGGCCGCCAAGTCCGGCTCCGTGGTGCTCCTCAATGGCCTCCATCGCCTGCACAAGAGCACGGCCAGCGTTTTGCAGCGGTGAGTACACAGACACCCAGCTGCGGTCGAAATAGTAGTAGTTACACTACTAAAAACAAAACGTAGCCAATTCAAGTATTCATACTTAATTTTCCATATTTTTCACTTTGATATTCATCCTCTGCGGTTTTTAGTTATTTGAAATATGGAAATAATACATTTTTTGGTAATATTTGAAACAGATTATAATATCTGAAATTTATTTCTTATTATTATCAAATATGATTTTCGTATTACACCTGAATATAATGCAATTAAAACAAGTAGTTATTCAATCTAATTTTTTTCATTTGCGAGTAAGCATTTTTTTTGTCAATTCCTTTTTGTAATTACCCAATTATTTTTATTTTGTTAAACTTTTAATATATATTTTTTGTACCAATATGTACTATTTAAAAAGGTGAGAGTAAAATTGCTAAAAAAAACGCTTTAATTTACATAGTTACCCCATTATCTTTATTTTATTAAACTTATATTACATTTATATTTATTTTGTATCAATATGTACTTAAATGTACATAATTACCCCAATATTTTTATTTTATTAAATTTATTTTGTACCATTGCTGCTATTTAAATTGGTGAGAGTAAAATTCCTTATAAAAAGCCACTTTAATGTACATAATTACCCCATTGTTTTTGTTTCA